AACTGCTGCCTACCACCCGCAGACGAATGACCTCACCGAACGCTTCAACCGTATGCTCGGCGACATGCTCTCCAAGTACGTCGCCGCCGGTCACACAAATCGGGATTCCATTCTACCCACAAGAGTGGAAACTTGGGCTAGTTGGTGCGTAGTCATATTGCAAGATGTTTCAGCGCGCGAACAAAGAAAAAGGTCTACCCTGTCCTTTTTCCTTTGTTCGCGCGCTGAAACATCTTGCAATATGTCCATTCTACCCTTCGTCACCTACGCATATAATACCGCCCCTCAGAGCACTACTGGCTTTTCACCTTTCTTTTTATTATATGGGAGGCACCCGTCACCCACCATCGACATGATACTTCCGTACGAGCCAGATCCGTCCGAGTGGGCGCCTATTTCTGCTACAGGCAAGCTTGCTGAAGAGCGCCGAGAGCTTGCAAAGACCTTTACTGCGCATGATCAAGAGAGGCAAAAAGGCATTCGCGCTCACAGCAGCACAACTGCGCCCACGTTCCTCCCTAGAGAGCTCGTCTGGCTTTCGATCCCTACCACTGCAACTGGCCTATCTTCAAAACAATTGCCCAAATACGAAGGCCTCTATCATGTTGTCGAACGCAATTCTCCTGTAAATTACTTGATCGCACTCATTGAACCATCTGCGGACATGCACCGTCAAGGGCGCGACATTGGCAATGTGGAGCGCCCCAAACATATCACGACCCACTCATACTAACCAGCTGTTCGGTCGCCAGGCGGCTCCCTATTCGTACCCGGGGTAGTTTTGGCGAAGCCTTCGAACAGTGGGTCGTCCACTCCAGCGCCTTCTAGTGGGTCGCCCTTTATGTAAAAAGAAGAGAAGCTCGTGCAGAGAGTCGGGAGTCGGTCCCCGCATTGACTGTCGCTGTTGTGGATCATCACTGAGTGCCCGCCAATAAACTTCCTAACAATATATATATATTAATATATATATATATATATATATATATATATATATATATATATATATATATATATATATATATATATATATATATATATATTTATATATATAGCATCGAACGCGTAATTCGAAGGTCGTAGGTTCGATTCCTGCTTACAGTTGGTAATTTTTTCATCCACTTTTCTTTCTTCTTATTTACATTCCATTAATGTTAATAACTTCCCCTGTACATTCTTTGGCATTACTGTCTGTTATATCTCATTATTATTGTGTTAAAAACACGGAAAAACGAGCCCTTAGGTACACACTTCTTTCCCTTATATATATATATATATATATATATATATATATATATATATATATATATATATATATATATATATGTGTGTGTGTGTGTGTGTGTGTGTGTACTTTTCTGCTTTTTTACACCTTTCTGTCCGTCCTTCCATAATTCTTTGTTTCTCTCCACTTTTTATTTTTATTCAAACCATGTTACGATGTACAGAACTAACAAATATTTGTCCACGGCATCCAAATACCGCAAGTTGGCTCGCTTCGAGTGGTTGGGCCTCATATACGTAAGGACAGTTCCGGCTTTGCTACCCTATCTCAGCTTCAAAATACAGTCGCACAACTCACTCACCTCGTCCGATGGGTGGTCAATCGGCGCAGTAGCTTCAAGCAACATGACACCTTGCGAATGGTGCAAGCTCTTCTATATAGTCGCAATACATACGAAACTGCTTACCTGAATTTAAAGACGGCGGAGAAACAAAACTGAATTCACTTATACGGAAAGCCACGAAGCTTGCCCTAGGACTGCCACCAAATGCTTCAATAAACCAATCGCTTCGAATGGGTGCTCGCAACACATAGGAAGAGCTCGTCGAAGCACACCTTATCAGCCAGGCTGAAAGGCTCAAGCTCTCACGCACTGGACGAGCAGTCCTCCGACGTACAGGATACACAACCATCCTAGAACGCGACGATGAACAGATGTACAAGAAACCGTTGCAGATCTGTGAACGCCTGGTAATTCAGCGCATTCCTCGCAACATGCATTCTGAACATCATCGAGGAAGGCGACTTGCCAGCGTAAACAACGTTAGGAACATCCACCAAAATGACCCGCACGCACGATACGTGGACGCTGCCAAGTATCCGGGACGTAGCACCTTCGCAATTTGCGTCAAAGACCTCAAGGAGGCGGCACTAGCTACAGTGACTATCCGGGCAAAACGCGCAGATACAGCTGAAGAGGCCACCACAGCATTGGCTACCCAAACGGCCGAGGATACCATAGTAGTCTTCACCGACTCCCAAACAGCGGCACGTAACTTTCTGAAAGGAAGAATTTCAACAAGAGTGATAAAATTCCAGAAACGCGTCGACACCCTTCCCCCACTCACCTGCATTATCTGGGTTTCGGGTCACGTGGGCCTCGAGGCGAATGAAGCGGCACATGTCATGGCTCACAAATGCATCAACTAGGCTTCCCCACACGAAATTCGAGACACCTCCCACACCAGAACAACAACAGAAGAAACCTAAGTGGTGCCTTTAGTCTATCACGAACTTCTGCAACACTATCGGCTGCAACGCTGGTTCTACCCTCCCCCGCATTCCAAACTTTCAAGAGCTGAAGGCACGGACTACAGGTGCCTTCAAAGCAATACATTGACGCATGACGTTCGAATGAATCACCTCAAATCGACGTCATATGACTACATCTGCCCGCACTGCAATGTGGCAGACACCCTAGCCCACCTGCTGCTGGATTGCATCAACCCAGCTTGCGTGGCTTGGTTGATGCAGAGGCAGCAACCCAGCCACAGAAGCAAGATCAATAAATGCAGACCCAAACCTCTTCAATAAAGTGTGGGAAGCTGTGCTCTCCAGGCCGGACTTCATCGACAAACACCAACTCGCCACTCGGGCCCGGCAGGCGGTTCAAGCAGAGGGTTCCTGGAACAAAGGACCTTCCCACAGTATTTCTTTGACCACCTAATAAACGTTTTTCTCGCTCTTTCTTTTTCATTCGTGCCGTCTGTCTCTGTTTATCTATCTTGCCTTTCTCGTGCTATTTATCTCTTTTTCTGCGTGTTTCTTTCCAGGCATGCGTATTGTTTTCTCTTTTTTACCTTTGTTTCTCGCACTATACAAGTTCGTTCACCCATATGAAATACGCCATACCAAGGAAACTAATGATTACGGTGATAGAGAGCGCGCCCGGCAAGGTGTTCGGCGAGTGAAACGGAGTATGAGACAGGGGACGAAGAGAGCGCTTGCCGGCCGAGTTGTTACGTCACACGCACTTGCTGCAGCTGTTCATGATGCTAGACATTGCGAGACCTCATATTAAGTAGAGTCCATTCAAAATGATTACGACGATGGTTTCTTGCATAGGTGAACCAGAAGTTTGGGAAGTTTAAGCAGCTCTATTATTTAAAAAAACTTGATCAGATTGATCAGAACAAAAAAAAGAAGCCAGAACGAGTGAATGCAGTGGTAAAACTATTTAAATATGTCTCGAGAATTTATAAGTGTTTATTCTCAATGCATAATTAAAATACTTTGCACACTTCTTTTCCAGTGAATTAGTGGAGGCTTTTTTGAAAAGATTAAATGCCACCTTTGCGGCGCAAGAAGGAAGCGATAAAGGTGATATCAATATATAGGAATGTCGTCCGAACAAAGGCTGGCAACTGACAACTCGTGCAGACAGAGCCGCTGGTGCGAGCAAAGCTATTGTCATGTGGTCTATGTCTTTAACGCAAGATTTGTGATGAGAGGAGGACACCTATAAAGCTCTCCTTCAAGAGCTAACTGTCCCAGCATAGGCGATCGCGTTGTGCCGGCCAAAGTATAGACTCAGGGTCGTATGGCTCCATTCCGACAAAATGCCTGTCAGGTCACGCCCTGACAGGCATTCTTTGGCTCTACGCCATCTCACAGGCGACAATTAGGAAGCATCGGTCATACTGATGCTCCTCAGAGAGGATATAACTCGAGAACTTTCACAAGACGTGGGATAGAAACTGCTGAGGGCCAACAGAAAATTTGGTGGTACGTGGTTGTGGCCTTTGTTGCACCATTCATCAAAGCGGTTCGGCCAATAATCAGGTAAAGTTCATGTGCATTTATTTTCTAGTGCATCCGCCACGTGAAATACTAGGTTGCCGTCCCCCATGCTGGTATTGAGGTTACAATGCTTTGTTACAGGCCCAAATATCGTACATTCAGTACCCAATCCTGCGGTCACATTTCGATGAAAACCAAATGCTACAGGTTCAGGAACTTTGCGATGGCAGCGCACTTTAATGAACCCCAGATTGTTCAAAGTTTCGGAGCCCTTCACTATGACATGCGTCATATTCTTGTATATTTCACCTCAATATACCCCAGACATTATGAAAACATGAACTATCAATATTATACATGGAATGTCTTCCGGTATTAACAGCTAAGCACTATAGTGTGATTGCGTAGGGCGTCAAGATGTACTGCTTAAGTTGAATAGGTAGTTGTTGGACCTTTACCTCTCAAAACAATGATATGGTTGAGTGACGCTGTAGAGGAACACGCCGCGAAACTTGAGCTCCTGCGGTTCTTGACGTGCACCTCAGTTTAAGTACATGAACCTCTAGTATTACACTGGCTAAACGTGTAATAGCTTGCTGTGGCACAGCATTGATAGATTTTTTCGTTGTGTGGCGTCTGGAGCAAATGTTTCCTAAAACGGTCACACAATGTTCCTGACAATGGAAAGAACCGTGAAAAATCGTGTAGTGGAAAAATATTCTCCTTACCATTCAAATCGAAACACAGAAATGGGATATCTATGCATATTTCATATCCTTTTGAGCATGATGGCATCCATTTGATCACAAGGTTGCTCTCTCTTCTGATGAAAAGGTTACTGGGGCTTCTGATGGGAACTGGCTGGTTTTTAATTTAGGCATACGTTTATGCTGAGCCGCCAAGTCGTGTTTGAATTATTTATGAAATTTCTTTTGATGTCATTATAGCCTATAGTGACATGTTCTTTATGTTTACACAGATGTTGAACTAAGAAGACAAATCGTGTATCAAAATAAAACCTGTGCTGTTTTCAAGATGATAGTTTTTTCACGTAGTGGTAAGTGCTTAACTACTTTCCTTTGCTTTGTGAACAACAAGGTGAGAGTACCTGCGAAGTCCGTGTACACGTATTTGCCAATTTTCAGACAATTTTGGTTATCATATAAAAAAAGTCGCTTTCTTGGTCATGCAAAATGTGGCCCAAAAGGTCGCCCAGAAACCTGCACGTTGTTGCTCATGGCGATACTGCGTAGCAGTTGGCAAAAATATTAAGAGTTGAAGAAGGTTCAACGCGGGAGTCAACGTATGGGCGAGTATTCCTAAATGCGGTAACTGACTAGTTTTGCGTGTGATTTGTACACCCCTTCCCGTGAGAAGTAGACGTGTGAAAAGTGGAATTGATGGAAAATCACACACAGAAGTGTAACAGAATCACACACAGAAGTGTAACCCTGATGTCATTAAAGCTGTGACATCAGGGTTACACTACTAGAAAACAACTTTCGAACAATCAAAGAACGGGAACAACGGGAATCTTATTTTATCTACAAATTTACCACGATAAAATACGGAATAAATGAACACCCAGGCACTCTGTCTGCGTTACGACAACTAAAAGACGCAAACGCTTCTCTCTAATCAGTCCGCTTTCATTACGACAATAATATTACCCGCTAACAAAGCTTTTGGCCTATGCATCTGACAACATAGAAATGATTTGCCTCATCAAGCACAGCCGGAACGCACAGATAAGTGGTCCCGGATGTCGTATTGTCCCCCCCCCCTTTTTTTTTCTTTTTCTTTCTCTTCTTTAAGTTGAAACGCACATTCTGTTCCTTCACTGACAAGGAGCTGACAACTAGGTGGTTTCGTTAACTTTTTCGTGCATGCGCGCATGTCTTTCCAAGTGAGCCGCAACTGTGTGGTGACTGTCTCGGATGTCGTACAGTCTCCTCCCTCCCCCCCCCCATGGTTTTTTTTCTTCTTCTTTATTTTTTAACGCACATTCTGTTCCTTCACTGACAAGGAGCCAATGCATATAATGAATATCGATGGCGGTGCCTCAATCACCGGCTTTTTCACTCCTCCCGACGCCACCAGCATGCACTTAAAGCGCTTAAGCCCTCCCCATTAACTTGTCATACACTTCAAAGAAGAACGAGCCGCCAGCGGACTACACGGAAAGGTGAAATACAAAAACGGCGGCTCCCTGCCCACTTGGGGAAGTGTGGGTGCGGGGGAGGTATTGTTGACAATGATGACATTCCTCATCTACCTCTGCCCTACTCTGTTGAAATGCTGCCCCTTTCTAATTACGCCGTGTCGGTCTTGCTTCTTCTCCTAGATTTTCTATATTTTATTTAATGTTTGTCCTCCGGTTTCGCTGTTTCTTATTTTTTCTTTCTCTCTCTCTCTCTCTCAATTGACCCCTCCCCTCCTGTCTCGACAGGATAGAAAAAGGCACGGAACATGTGTAAATAGTATTATGCCTTGAAAAAGACAGGGTTCCTGTCGAAACGTCGGCACAATAAACAGTTGTTATGTGAAAGCGCATCTATTTCATATTTATAACCTTGCGGCAACCGAAGTTATTCTTCTGTATATATATATATATATATATATATATATATATATATATATATATATATATATATATATATATATATATATATAAGAGAGAGAAGTGTATACCTAAGGGCTCGTATTTCCGTGTTTTAACACAATATTAATGAGATATGACAGACAGTAATGCCAAGGAATGTACAGGGGAAGTTATTAGAACCAATGGAATGTAAATAAGAAGAAAGAAGAAAGAAAAGTGGATGAAAAATTACCAGCTGGGAGCAGGATAAGCGTCAGAAGTGCACGGAGGCACTATGTCGGCCAGCGACGGTCAACAATCAGCAGCAAAGTTGACGTTCGTGTAAACGTATTGCACGCTTTTCGTATGCCGCCGTAACGTGCTGCACTACACACGTTATATATATATATATATATATATATATATATATTATATATTAATATATATATATTGTTAGGAAGTTTATTGGCGGGCACTCAGTGATGATCCACAACAGCGACAGTCAATGCGGGGACCGACTCCCGACTCTCTGCACGAGCTTCTCTTCTTTTTACAAAAAGGGCGACCCACTAGAAGGCGCTGGAGTGGACGACCCACTGTTCAAAGGCTTCGCCAAAACTACCCAGGGTACGAATAGGGAGCCGCCTGGCGACCGAACAGCTGGTTAGTATGAGTGGGTCGTGATATGTTTGGGGCGCTCCACATTGCCAATGTCGCGCCCTTGACGGTGCATAGGGCATAGCGGATTATTCAATTCAGGTGAAGCACATATTGCATAGTTGATTTTTTCGCATTATGGTCCTACCGAAAAGTGTCAAGTGTGCAATGGCAGCGATCCCTACTGAAAAAACCTATATAATTCCATACAGGATCCGTATGCTTCAATACAGGGGTTACAGGAGCTAATACAGGAGCTGTACAGGAACCAAATGGGGGTAAATGGGTCTTATACAGGAGCTATATGGTGGTATGTAGGAGCTGAATGGGACCTGGGCAGGACATATAGGGGTATGTAGGAGCTATATAGGCATTATGGGTTTGGTATGTAGGACTCTCATCTAGCACAATATAGGAGCTAATGGGGCTGAATGGGGGCCATACATAGGACTTGATAGGGCTCAATGTCAATCTTGATAGTCAATGTAGTACATCAGTAAACCTATAAGACCAAATACCTAGGCACGCATAACATTTTTGTTTTTTTTTGTGTTGAGAGGTCTAAAATACTCAGTTTTTCAGCTCCATTAGTTGGCTGTACACAACCTCAAGAAATAACCAATTTTAACTAGTTCATATCATGAGATGCAAATATGTGCAAAAGTATACCAGATAAGTATATCAGATAATTATCAAAGTACTTTATTTCATTTGATCACCTTAGTTGTACACGTGTTATATTTGCACAAATATTGCTGTTCAATTTATGAAAAAAAACAATATTTTAAATGTTGTATTTGTGCAATGAATATAATCTTTCTATGAAAAATCTCTAACAGAAAATAGTGAGTGAGTAATTTTATATTATATGAACATACACAAGAAGATAAAAGACAATTAATCCTTATATTCAGGAAAGATAGACCAAGCCTCGCTCACGTGCTCTGTCATTGCACCAAGGCACAAAGCACAAGGGGCAATGCAGGACTACCAAGGAAGAGTGCGAATGAGCTCTACGAAGCTTGGACATCGAGGAAAAAGTGCACACGACACAGTCGAGGGGCAAGGCATCTCTGTTATGACATAGAAATTGCACTCTCTGGTCTAAACACACACACTGAAAGATATCGATGAAGTCTTTATTCTGTACAAGTACAAAATAATTACATACAAACACATTAAAAAGGTTTTGCAATACTGGTGTTGTTGAAACAAAACTACATCCAATATTCAGATGAATTTTCCATGCACTGCTCGAAACGGTCGATCTGAGAGTTTGGTTGGCTTTGCACAAGCTTGCTCACTTGTGATTGGTACTTGACTGTGTTTATTCCTCAGAATCAGAATAAGAGCAAATAATTATCAAAATTTCATTTGGTGTGCTTCCATCTGAGCCTTTGAAAACAGCTTATTGTACGTCTGCATGAAAGTATCTTCACCACTGGCCAACTAAGTATTTCTAATGCTACTCCTCTCTTAAACAAAATTGATACAAATATTCAGTTTAACTTTCAACACATTACTTTAAATAGTTGAATAAGTGTTTGGGTGGCACAAGCTTGCTTGCTCGTGAAATGTACTTGGCTGTGTTTATTGCTCAAAAGCTAAATAGGAGCAAATAGTTCTCAAGATTTTGTTTCGTGTGCTTTCATCTGAACCTTTGAAAACTTCTTGTTGTACGCATTCATATACCACATCATTCCAACTCAACAGCTAATGGTCACGATACTCATGTCTTCCAAACAAGAGTGGCTCAAGTTGTTGTTTTGAGCTTCCATGCATTACTTGAAAAGGTTGACAAGAGTGTTTTAGTGGCACAAGCTTTCCTCTTCCTAATACTTGGCTGGGCTATCACAGAGAAGGTGTACATTAGCAAATATTTCTGCACGCTTTGTTTTGTGTGCTTCCAACTGAACCTTTCGAAACGGTTTGTTGTATGCTTGCATGTACAGCATCATCCCCATTGGTCAGCTATTTGTAACAGTACTCTTGTCTTGCAAATAAAAGGGGCTCAATTTTTCTGTTTGAGTTTCCATGTATTGCTTGAAATGGTTCATGAGAGTGTTTTTGTGGCGCAAGAATGCTTGTCTGTGATACTTGGCTGTGTTTATCACTCAGAAGGTGGACAAGAGGAAATAATTCTCCACGCTTTCTTTGTGCGCTTCCATCTGAACTTTTTAAAACGTCTTGTTATATGCTTGCATGTACAGCATCATGTCCATTGGACAGCTATTCGCAATGGTACTCATGTCTTGCAAACAAAAGGGGCTCAATTTTTCATTTTGAGTATTCAAGTATTGCTTGAAATGATTGATGAGAGTGTTTTTGTGGCACAAGAATGCTTGTCTGTGATACTTGGCTGTGTTTATCACTCAGAAGGTGGACAAGAGGAAACAATTCTTCATGCTTTCTTTTGTGCGCTTCCATCTGAACCTTTCAAAATGTCTTGGTATATGCTTGCATGTATCGCATCATGCCCATTGGACAGCTATTCGCAATGGTACTCATATCTTACAAACAAAAGGGGCTCAATTTTTCATTTTGAGCTTCAAGGTATTGCTTGAAATGGTTCATGAGAGTGTTTTTGTCACACAAGAATGCTTGTCTGTGATACTTGGCTGTGTTTATCACTCAGAAGGTGGACAAGAGGTAATAATTCTCCACACTTTGTTATGTGCGCTTCCATCTGAACCTTTCAAACGTCTTGTTGTATGCTTGCACGTCCAGCATCATGCCCATTGGACAGCTATTTGCAAAGGTACTCATGTCTTGCAAACAAAAGGGGCTCAATTTTTCATTTTGAGTTTCCAGGTATTGCT